CCCAAAAAAAAAAAAAAAAAACCCAAACTGGAAAAAAAAAAAAAAAAAAAAAAAAAAAAAAAAAAAAAAAAAAAAAAAACGGCGAATTACAGAAAATCCATCCGGGTATACACAACATAGACATATTCTGTGGCACAAACACCACTCAGAGAGTCCCTTATGAGGAAGCAAATGCATCATTAACAAAACAAAACCAAAACCCAAAACCCAAAAAAAATAAAAAAAATAAAAATAAAGGCCAACTTTCCCCCCTTCACGTTTCAGACTTCAGCCTCAGCCTCCCCAGCCGCACTCTCACTCTCCCAAATTTCAATCTTAACATTTGTCGGCCCTTCAGCTTTGAAGGCAGAAGAAGCATCCACACCATCTGCTGTGTCAAATATCAGCGCAGAAATGGCCGCGTGGCTGGCGAGTTGTGAGTTGCTTGGCTGGTGCTGGTGCTGGTACTGGTGCTGTTGTGGCTCATGTTGATAGTGATGATGGTTAGATACCTGGGACTGCCCAATTGAATGTTCAGACAACGGTGAATGTTCCGCTGCGATATAGGCTGTGTCAAGGTTGATATTCTCATTCTCATTCTCATTCTTCAGTTCCTGCTCCTGCTCCTGCTCCTGCTCCTTCTCCATCCTCTCACTCTCCCTCACATCCTCCTCAGATATAAAAAGAGCAACATCCAACTCTCCCAGCACGGCGCGTGGCTGCGCCTGCATCTGCCCCTGCAGCTCATCCGTCATTATCAACGTGCGACTTCTACTATTACGACCGCTACCCATTTCCGTAGTCGGAGCCGCACCAATCATTTCCGCAGGAGGAATGTTCTCCTTCCCCCTCTCATCCTTGGTCCTAGGTTTATCCTCATCATCACTGATATCCAACACGCAGGTCGAATGCTGCATCAAGTTTGCCATCTCATCCTGCTCGGTATCAACGTATATCTCAAAGTCCCAGCCCATTGGACGCGGTTTGTCAATGGCATTGCTATTGTTGTTTGTATTGACATTTGACGGTCTGGCAGCTTTGGTTGTTTTCAAGGCTGTGTTGCGGGTTCCATGGAGCGCATCAGCAATGGAAAACGGTGCACGTGGCGCATGTGGTTTCGCAAACAAGGTGGGCGGGTCAATGCGTGTGTATGTGGATGAGCATGATATGGTGCTGCGGCGGGAGAAGGCCTTGACGGGCTTGGACTTGGACTTCGGCGAGCGGCCAGCTGGGGCGCGGAGCGGTGCTGAGTTTGGGAGCGTGGCGAGCTTTATTTTGGATACAGGTGTCTGTAGGCATCTTGCATTGGTAGTGCTGGTGGCGAAGCTGGTGACGGTCCTTGGGGAGGCGATGGTGAACTTGGGGGGTTTGGAGACGTCTTGGACGAGATGGTTTCGTGCGCGCTTGGAGCCTAGAGGGCCGAAGGAGAAAGAGGAAGGATCAATGGTTTCGGTGTTGGATAGATCTGATGTATCTAGACGGCGTTTGAGAGAGGTGGATGGTGGTGCGGCTGCGAGCGCGAAGTTAGTGTAAGCGTCGATGTCGATGTCAATGTTTTGTGTTGGGAGGTAGAGTTCTTTTGACATACCATTCTGCTGGTTTTTCATACTCTGTAAGAATCTCATGCGGGAGGAATCAATGACGCCAAAGGGCTGCCTTGTAAGGGGCGACATGGACTGGGTGAGGGCCATGATGTGCAAGTTGTGTAGAATTGTGGGTGTTGTGGATCTGAGGATGGCTTGTTTTATAGGCGCTGAGGGCTGGGCTATATTGATTTTGACAATCAAGAGAGGAACAAATCCGGGCTGATTGGAGGGTTGGTAATGTCAACAAATAAACTGGTTGAAGACAAGACAGATAGAGAGGTCTTTGGCTACAGCAGAACTAGGACTGGAGCGCGAGATTATGATGTTGCTGTGTTAGGACAAGAAGCTGAGCACCAAATACGTGCTTATCCTGAGGCTGAGAAGTAAACAAACACAAGGTGGAGATGACAAAACAAATAAACAAAGGTAAAACAGGACGACAATTGAGGCGATGTGTTGAGTATGTGGATGGGATTGCCTGTATGTGTGTAATATATGAGAAGGAACAGAGAGAATATATATAGTCTCTGAGAGAAGGCAGAGAAAAGAGGTGGTGGACGGAGGGTATTTGTCTTCTGCGAGAGGGGGAAAATATAGGGAGGGGGAAACGGGGGGGGGGGGTTTTAAAAGGGAGAGGGCCGGATTCTGGGATGAAAAGAAGGCAGGCAGCCTTGGAAATCCTTGGATTTCTAGCCCCTCGGATCAGGAGGGTACACGCCGTGGTTCGTGTCAAGGACTGGCAGAGAAGGGACAGCAGATTCAGCTGCGTTGTTGGTCAGCCGTGAAGAGAGCCGCAGCAGGCACAAAAATGCGAACGAGGACGAGGACAAGGGGGATTGGATAGGATGTGATGAACCAGACAGAAGCTGCGAGGAGACCAGAGCTGGTTTCAGGGAACTCTGATGGAGCGACGAGATGCGAGAATCCCTGCTTGTAGCGGAGGGGCAGCAGAGGAGGGAGTTGGATGGGTGAGGATTGTCGAATGGGTAAATGTAGTCAACGATTAGAGTGTGAGACGGGGGGGACGGAGGGCTGCATGGGATAAGACCGAGAGGGAGAAAGAGGAAAGTGGAGCGATAACAATACAGAACAGCCCGCGTGTGGTATGGTATTACTGAAATAGAACCAAGCGCGTAGAAGCGTGTTGCTGCTGGAGGGAGGAGAAGAGGGCTGGCTGCCCGAGTTAAAATATCTTGAGACGGCTGGTTGTGTACAATTCCTTGGATCAAGACTCCTAGCTAACCGTATAGACAGTCTGTTCAGCGATGGCTTCTATGTGTTCTAATTCCGCAGCTGGCGATAACTGTCTGAGGATTGTGTCTGTTTTGCTTATCGACTCCGGATCATAGCTATTGTTTGGTAAAGTCAAAAAGGCTTCCCCCCCCCCCCCTTTCCCCCTTCCCCCTTTCCCCCTTCCCAACCCAAACATCAATGCCCGGCATTACCCATGGATCTTCACCTCTACATCTCTGAAGGAGTTAACTGACGTGTTAACTCGTTAGAACAGTGGGCTGCTTACCCAAGATACCTTTTTTTCCCCCACGTTCGGTGAGCCCAGCACGAAACTCACGACTCCCGAAACTCTCGAAACTCTCGAAATACACGAAATACACGGAAAACACGGAATACACGGTACACCGTAGCCCGATTCCACGATTCCACGGTTCACGATCCACGAAAAATACACGGTCCACGTCCACGACCACCCTTCTGCCACTGTAATATTTCCGTATCAAAAGACGTGACGCGCTGCAGCACCCAAACTTGGGCTAACCGACCGACCAATGATTCCTTGGACATCCCCCCCAGTCAGAGCAAATCAGATTCAGAGCAATGAGCAAAGCACAGTGGGGATGCTGAGATCCGTGCAGACTGGGGAAACCAAGGAACTGGGGAGCTGAACTGGCATGCATCGGGGATCTTGCTGGGATCTGTTGGCGAAGGCAGGGGAGTTTTCACTGGAGGACATGCTTCGAAGATATCCCCCTTGGAAGAGAAGCGCCCGTCGTCAGAACGCCGCGAGCCGCCTTCGTTTGGTATCAGATATTGCTCGAGTTAACTATGGATTGGTTGGTCCATGAATAAAGAATAGCCTAAATATACTCAATGTCAGGCCACGCACTCTCTGGGTCTCTGTTCATTCAGTCAATGGAACCTTTGTTTTGTTATAATGCTGTTTCAAGCAATTCTTGGAAGCAAACTCAGACCATAGGCATTAACCACTTGAGAAGCATTCGTTCGTGGTGATCGATTGTTCGCCGGCAGCCAGTTTGCCCAGCAGAAAGAGCTCAGCTGCCCTCGTTGTCCATGGGGAGAATTAGTTATCGTCTTGGCCAATAGAACGTCATTCATCCTCGAGGCTTGTCTCTCGTCGGGGGGATTGCCTGCAGCACAGCACCCTCTCAAAACCTAACTGATTTGGAGACATCCTCCGAGAGACACACAGTCAGACGCAGATGGCATCGTGAGCAGGCATCAATGGGGTTTTAATAAGATATTCAACATAATTGAGTGAGGGGAGGGGATCTTGGGTTGAAACATTCATGGGTACAAGGAGGGAATATCTACAGGAGTTCACCACTTTAGGCGTAGGCTGTCAACAGTCCTGCAACACACATTCATGGATGTATTCACCTCTATATCTATCCTATATCATAATATAACCCCGTTTCCCTGTAGAAACCATAAACGAGAAGGAAATATATACAGCTCATTGTATCAAACACCCGTGCCATAACACGATTTATAGAACAGATCTCATAAAATTTCATCTTCCCACGGTATACTGTTCATCGCCCCATCCCTCTCCACACACCTCGCAGAAGCCTTCGTGGCCCACCTAACCGCCCGCTCCGTAACGTCCCCATACCACTCCCTCCTCTCCTGAACCGTCATCTCTCCTACCCGCCCGCCCCCCTTCGCCTCCCTCCACCGCGCAATCTGCACCGCATACCCACCCACAAACGTATCCCCCGCCCCCGTCGTATCCACCACGCTCTCCACCTTCGCAGCAGGCACCTCCCCAACAGCCCTCACCCACTCCGCTCCCCCAATTTGTACCTCCCTCCCAACATCCCCAGCACTATACCAAACCCCCTGCGCCCCCAACGTGACAAGCACACGCCTGACCCCAACAACATGAAAATACCTAGCAATCTTATCCCTCCTCGCCGCGCATGTCGCCGCCGTTCCCTCCCCCCCCTCCCCCCTCACCATTTCCACCGGCGCCATACTCTCACACTCCGTCTCATTCATCACCAAATGATCCACGGGCCGATACACATCAGCCGGAACCCCCCCTTCCGGAACTGGAGGCCGGGTTGAGAAATAAACTTCGAACTGCGC